CAGCCAAGAACGCAAAGTTGCAACTCTGATTTGGTTTCCGTGCTGAAGCAGCTTTTCGGACTTCCTCCAGATTGTTCATCGCTGTTTTTGTTTTAGTTTGCATGTGGAGCTGTGTGTTCCGCTTCTCCGATGGTCACGGACAGGTTTCTGTTGCGTTTGAGGTCTTTCAAACAAATTGCATTTTCTCTTTCACCGTTTAAAAAAAACGGACCCCGCGGAATACTTTTTTTTGAGCCACAAGAGTCTTGGTGGAAGCGCCCAAATGCAGTTTGTTTTGTCTCGTTCTTTTTGAAAGGTACGTCCCATCACCTGATGAGAACTGTAAGCGGCTCAGCCAATCTTCATCTTGTTGCTTTTTCCGCTTGCGACTTGCCGCGCAAGAAGAGAGATCCGAGGCTCACTGCTTCCAATCCGTGTTATACGAATGCCGGGTCGAATCAGCGAGTTTACTCAGCACGGCTTTCCCACCTGGTTCAACGAAACGAAAAAGAGTGTTACTGCCCAGAATTCTTGCCATGTTTCCAGAATTCATGTGCGCATTCTGCTGGAGGATGCAGAACGATTCTATGCCTTTGTGTCCAAATTTTCATGTTTCTGCTTTGTTTAGTTACCTCTTAAAAGAGGTTTTGGTGTAGTGAAAATGAAGTTCACGTTTTTGTCAATTTCGTTTTGCAGGGCTCAAACGTTTCAAGTCTGGAAACGCTCTAAAGCGCGCCTCAAAAAGTGGATAGATGTCCGTTGCTCCTTTTAGCAAAGATTTTAAACTTCTTGTTTTTGACTCTCAATCGAATCTTTTTCTTGGGAAATCTGCACACACATTTTGGGAAAACTTTTGTTTATGTTTAAAGCGAGCTTTGCGCAATTTTTTTTCAATACAAAGCTTTTCGAACTTGTGTGCGTTGGTCTCAACAAACGAACTCTTCGCCTTCAGTCAAGATGCAAAGGTGGAATTGTGTGCGAAGAGTTGGTACATAAGATATGCTTCGCATCAATAAGACAAGCTGATCCTGTACACAAGAATGCCATGGTGTTGGATGCAGCTCCTTCCATTGCAAAAACAACATCCAAGTGTGTTTTGGTGCAGCATTCTTTTGGGCATCCAGACAAGAAATCCAACTTACGACAAGGAAACTTGAAGCAAGATCCTTGCACAGAATTCAAGAAAGTAAAGTCTGTGTTCGTGATCGTTTTGTTTGAACACATTTGTTCAAGTGTGTAAGATTGAGGATCTGAAGAGGCTTCGGAGGTTCTAAAACCTGAAGTACCATGGCTTGTTCATTCAGTTAAGACAATGAGGGCCCGTAATTAGTAGTTTTGATAGGTTTTCAAGCCATAGCCTGCAGATGTTTTTTTCAACACTTGAAAAGCGCGAGTTTGGAGCTAAGAGGAGATGATCCATCTCAAAGGTGGAGTTTTCGGAGAATCCTTGGAACAGACCAGCGAGGTGATTTCATCCGCTTCCACACTTCCCTGCGCACACTGCATCGAAGCGCGTCGAAAAGTCTATCGCGCTTTGTGCACGAAGTGGTGCGAGGGTTGAGTTCGCTTTGTTTTCGCTGCAGATGGGTGTCGAACCACAGTGTGGGTTCCAGTGCCGTTCATGACACCAGGGTTTTTTGCTCGGATTTCACATCGGAGGAGGCTACACTGAGGATGTTCCAGATTCCGGAAAAGTTGGTCTTTGATATGGGTCCACGGCTAGCTGCTGTTTGGCAGGCCGGGAGTGATTCTCGTTGTGTTTTGTGAGGGCAATTTGAGCAGCTCCACACGGTTCTCAAGCAGGCACGTTCCGGATGCGCGGCCCGTGCTGACTGACGCAGGGAAGTGCTTTGCCACATGCCCCCAAAATGTGGAAAGGTAAGAAGCCTTCCAGTCGGCGGAAATAACTTTTGATTCCGGGGTGAGTGCTTGTGCGTGGAAACGAATGGACTGCGTTGGGCTAGGTCTGGGGCACAACACGTGCTGAGTGCTGCCACCACCGTCACGAGGAGCACAAGGCCGTTCTGTTCTAGGCATGTTTCAGAAAAGCTGCCGACTCTTGCACCACGAGCGCACCGAAGTGCAGTGCGCAATAAGTGTGTCCCATTCCGAAATCTCCGAGTGCCTGGCCTAGCCATCTTGAGATTTCATTTCCCCCAAAAAGGCTGAGTCTTTGCCAGTTTTGGTCAGGCTGCTCGCGAGCATCGTCGCTTGATGGACGAGTGCGAGACTCAGGTGTGAGAGAGGCTCAGACATTTGGGGTAGAGCCAACGGCCTACCAACTTAATTGTTGGAGGTCTTTGCAAACGCAGCTGGGCGGTTATTTATTATTATCCGTGTTCGGCGAGAAGTGAGCCATGCGCCATGAGCATGTAAGCATCGAGCTGGAAGGAGTTTTTGGCCCAGCGGTTTCATCTAGCATGCCGCGGCTCACTCGAGGGCTTGAGCGCGAATTTTGCTGGGTTGATGATGCTAGCGCTGGACTCGCCAGGTTTGCGGCGGCGAAGTGCGCCAAGGTGGGTCTTCGGTCATACTTTGCAAACTCCCGGACATGACGAGTTCTGGCTTGATGCCTGAGCGACGCGCCTGAGCCGAAGAGGCTTCAAAGAAGATCCCTTCCCGCAGCACGAGGCCGCATTGAGACGTATCTTCAGGTCTTGCTCGTTGCATTTTTTGTTGGAATGCTCCTTGTCCATGGGTGGCGAGTCGGTGCTGGAGGCCGCTCCCGGAGTTCTGATCCCTTGACCTGTTGTGCCTTTTCATGCCAGGCGCCTTTGATGCTGCGGGCGGTGACATCCTGTGACCTTGTGATCGTGGCATCTCGAAGGTTCATAACAGCTAAGGCCCCCCGCCTAGCTGCGTGATTTTTCTGGCATGGTTTCCAACAGGCCCCCAAGATGGGGGTCAGTCTCAGTTCATGTGCCGCTGCGGAGTTCAAACAAATCAGTCTCGGAGTGGTCATGCGGCGCCCGTTTTTGTATTTTCAAAGCGCTCAGTACCTTCAGTGCCTTCATTGCAGAATTGATGCCTCAAGCAAGCCTCAAGTCACTGTAGGGATCTTGCGCTCGTAAAGCATCTTCAATTGAAGGATATTGGTCCTTCTGGGCTGGTGGTGGCGGTGGTGGTGGTGGTGGCGGCAGCAGTAGTTGTGAATGTCATGATAGTTGTAACAGTACTTGTAAGTAGCAGTGCAACATGGTCTGACGGATACCCCAAACTGCCTCCATCCTTCGTAGGGCAGCTTGCTTGACAGAGGGTCTGCCTGCAAATGCGTGCTCTGTGCTGGTCCTGAAGCCCAGCCCCAGCCCCATTGGCCCAGCCCCAAGCCCCACCCAGACCAGCACCACCCCAAACACCCAACTCCAAAGCCTGCAAACCACCTAACCTTCAGGTTCCGTTTTTTTTTTGTGGAAAACCCAACCCCGAACCTCACTCTTTGGCCCAGCCCCCAAAGCCACAACGCCAAGCTTCCCCCAAGTCCGCATGCAGAGGTGATCTGCAACCTTGAGCTTTCCCACTCCCCACTCCCATGGCCACAGCCCCAGTCCAAGCCCAGCCCCGAGCCCCAGCACTGCGCCAAAGCCTTCAGTCACGCACGCTCCAAGCCACACACCAAGCTCCACCACAATCTGCATCCTCCACGCCAAACCCCAAAGTCTACATGCAGAGGTGGTCCGGACAGTTCTCACACAAAAAGAAAAAATCCGAAACTCCTAGAGTAGTAATTTCAATGTAACTCTCTGGAACAAGGCAGATTTGTACAGAGTGGATGTGAAAAACAGCGCCGGAACAAGGTTCGCAACAAGTAGTAGTAGTAGTAGTAGTAGTAGTAGTAGTAGTAGTAGTAGTAGTAGTAGTAGTAGTAGTAGTAGTAGTAGTAGTAGTAGTAGTGGTAGTAGTACTAGTAGTACTAGTAGTAGTACTAGTAGTAGTAGTAGTAGTAGTAGTAGTAGTAGTAGTAGTAGTAGTAGTGGTAGTAGTAGTAGTAGTAGTAGTAGTAGTAGTAGTAGTAGTAGTAGTAGTAGTAGTAGTAATAGTAGTAGCAGTACTAGTACTAGTAGTAGTACTAGTACTATTACTAGTAGTAGTAGTAGTAGTAGTAGTAGTAGTAGTAGTAGTAGTAGTAGTAGCAGTAGCAGTAGTAGCAGTAGCAGTAGCAGTAGCAGTAGTAGCAGTAGCAGTAGTAGTAGTAGTAGTAGTAGTAGCAGTAGAAGTAGTAGTAGTAGTAGTAGCAGTAGTAGTAGTAGTAGTAGGAGGAGGAGGAGGAGGAGGAGTAGTAGTAGTAGTAGTACAAACCTGTGAAAGTTATGTATCATAGTGTATGTCATAACCATTTTAGACCTGCTTGTGTGCATGCATGTCTGTACAACTGTAGTGGCTACATGAGCTTGTGCTACATGGTTCGCATGTTCGAGATCTGCAGCATGTCGCTTTGATAACAAGTTGTTTTCCTTCTCCACTTCCCTCCAAACGCTTTGTACAAGACTTTCCCACTTGAAAAAACCAAACCCATGGGGTACAGACTGCAAATTCCAGAGCGCGATTTTGATTTTCGAGAGCAGAAAGTTGGAAGCTTCGGTGAAGTGCACACACAATGCACGAGAGTACGAAAATGGTTCGGAACGTTCGGGCAGAAGCCTCTGTGCCACACATGTTGCTGCATTAGGGATGACTGAGCGTAGATTTTGCAGGAACTTCCGCGTTGGCGTTTCGGTTCGAAGGATTGGTGATCAAGGCCTCTACATCACGCGGTGTGCCCCAGTCACCTTCCGTTGGTGCTCTTTGCGATCAACTCTCTCGCGACTTCTACACCCTCACTTCGCCGCCATGCGTGAGGCCGTTTGCATCCACATCGGCCAGGTGCCAGCTTGCTAAATTCCCCCGAACTCCTCCAAATTCGGAAATCTTTCTGGAGCTGATAGCTCGTCGACCTTCATCCAAACTTGCAGGGTGGCGTGCAGATCGGAAACGCCTGCTGGGAGCTCTTCTGCCTCGAGCATGGCATCCAGCCGGATGGTCAGATGCCCAGCGACGCTCGCCAGCAGGCTTCGGCAGAGGTGCATCTGTCGCTAACAAAGTAAGTGCAGGGCAACAGGCTCAGTGTGATGAAACTGGACGTTGGAGCATGAAGCTCAGGACAAGACGATCGGTGGTGGAGATGCCCCTTGCATGCAGTGACACGTGTGTTTAGCGCACAAAGCTTGACGCTTTTTGGTCCAACCTTTTTCGGAGCGAATTCACGCGAACATGCTGAACCCAGTCACCCCGTGAGGACGCATTTAATACCTTCTTCTCAGAAACGGGTGCTGGAAAGCACGTCCCTCGCTGCGTCATGGTGGACCCGGGCTTACTTGATCTCCAGCGCTGGCTAGCAGCTAGCACTACATGTGAGGTGTCAGTCGGCTTTGAGCACGGCAACAGCTGTTGGTGTGGTATTGCTGTAGAGAGACGGCAAGAGCGGAAGCTGGATCGTAGGATACAGAAGGCTCTGCAAAACTCGGAAAGCCATCAACGGGTCGCAAAAGTCTATGGGTTGCGTAAGGCGCAGGAGTCGTCGCGAGTTTGTTTCAACTGCCGAGAAATAAATGCCAGGGCTTACGTCCGAAGGCTGATTTGCTGCAGGGGAATGGTGGGACGAGCCAAGTGATGGTGATGATTAGTGACGATGATGTCGATCAGAGCGAGTCAGTCATGATGACGAAGAATAGTGAGAAGGAAGAAGGAGAGAGATACCGATGCTTGTAGTAGTAGCGACACAGAAGAAGGTTAGGAATGACGTTCTGTCCGCAGCTCCGCCGCCGTCGTCGTCCTGCTACTGCTGCTGCTGATGATGATGAGGCTGAGGATGATGATCGTAACGTGAATGATGATGATGATGGTGATGTGATGATGGCCGTGGTGTTGCTGCTGCCCTGTTGGTGCCAAGAGCCAAATCTGACCACGAGACTCCGAAGACGTCCTTCGAGAGTTGTGACGTCACGGGGCCTACGGTCAGTCATGGTGGGTTCGAAGTCCGTGCCAAACGCCGTGATGGCCTCTGGCGTCTATCACACCAGCCAGGACGGTGCACGAACAACAAACTTAAAAACATCCTAAGGATCTTGAGCCAACTGTTGTGGATGAAGTTCGCACCGGTACCTACCGGCAGCTTTTCCATCCGGAGCAGCTGATTTCTGGCAAAGAAGATGCTGTCACTTGACGGATCTGATCCTGCCGCAACATGTTTGAAAGCTTGTTGCATCTCGGGAGTCGTGGACTAGCGATTTCCCAGGCAAACAACTTCGCTCGTGGACATTACACCATCGGCAAAGAGATCGTGGACCTGGTCCTTGACAGGACGTCTGCGTCACCTAGCATGTCTTGTTTGCTCCGACGGTGCTGTTCATTTCGCTAGACTGCGTTGCTATGCACAGAGTGCATCCACAAAAAGATGCTTCCGCGTACGGGCTTCCTGCTTGTTTGCCTGGCACGTCCTGCCAAAGCTTGAATCCACATAGCTGCGTGTACCGCAGAGCGTCTGAGTCAGGATCCGCAAGTTGGCCGACAACTGCCGCCGGGCAGACAATCCTTCTAGCTTTTGGCATCACGTGCTATCTCACTTGGCAGATGTGTCTGTAGAATTTCCCTGCAAGCAACACTGTCGTCGCATTCGTCCAGGCACCGGGCTGCAGGGCTTCTGCGTCTACAATGTCCTTTGGTCAAACACATTGGATGCTGTTGTCCACATCAGATGAGCCCTGAAGCTCAATGGGAGGCTTGTAAACCGAGGCCTGCGGTGGAGGAACCGGCTCTGGCTTGGGCTGCCTCATGCTCGAGCGCTTGTCCGTGGACTACGGAAAGAAGAGCAAGATTTCCTTCACCGTCTGGTGCTGCCCCCAGGTGGCGACGGCAGTCGTCGAGCCGTACAACACCGAGACTTGGCACATCGGTATATTCGAGTTTGGGTCTTTGGGTGGCTTAGTTGAGAACAGGCAAACGGTGCTTGTTGGAAATCATGTTTTGGCCAAGGTCTTGTGCGTTCATTCCCTCTTGGAGCATACAGACGTGACGATCATGTACGACAACGAGGCCCTCTACGATATTTGCCGCAGGATCCTCGTCGTTCGATTATTTCAGTTTACGTGTTTACCAGGGCCCGAGAGCCAACTTCAAGATGTGAGTTCCTCGGTTCCTACTCAACCCGCCGCGGCAAATCATCTGAAGTTTGCAGGCATTCTGGGACGATCACCGTAGGCTTGAACATGGAAGCCGTAAGCTGTGAAAGCAGGACGTGCGCATGAGTTTTCGGTTTGGGTGCATTTCAGGAACCTGGACATTGAGCGCCCCACGTACACCAACCTGAACCGCTTGATCGCCCAGATCATCAGTTCCCTGACGGCGAGCCTTCGCTTCGATGGAGCCTTGAACGTGGATATCACGGAGTTCCAGACGAACCTGGTGCCGTACCCGCGCATCCACTTCATGCTCACGTCCTATGCTCCGGTCATCTCTGCCGAGAAGGCCTACCACGAGCAGCTGTCCGTGGCTGAGATCACGATGTCCGTCTTCGAGCCGGCATCCATGATGGTGAAGCGCGAGCCTGAGTGATGTCGGAAACCAGCTCCACCGCTTGCGCGAGAGATAGCAGTCACGCAGGTGCGATCCTCGGCACGGCAAGTACATGGCCTGCTGCATGATGTACCGTCCGGGTGCCCGGAGAACTGCAGCCGTAGCAGCAGCCTCGAGTCAGGCTTCAGATTGATTGCCCAGGCGGCGATGTTGTGCCAAAGGATGTGAATGCAGCCGTGGCTACGATCAAGACCAAGCGCACCATCCAGTTCGTGGATTCTGGGTTGCATTCAAGACTATCACTGAATCCAAGAGTAGCACAGACAGAAGTCGGACCACAAAGGCAAGCAGGGTACCCCCAAGCCCAAGACATTCCAAGAGCAGCCAAGAGCCAGGGTCTTTCTTTCACCTTTTGTGAAATCTCCGTTCGCCCGTTGTACTGTGTGTTGCCTTACGTTGTCATGCGGTTAGAACTGTGAACCACTCCGCAGGGGCCCTTGCCAGGACTGGTGCCCCACGGGCTTCAAGTGCGGCATCAACTACCAGCCGCCCACTGTGGTCCCAGGTGGCGAAATTTGTGAGTGGTCGTGGGAAGCTAACACAAGGTTAGACATGTTTTGCGGGTGTGGGGTGCTTGGTACGAGGGTTCCGCATGTCCGAGGGCAGGGACTCGAGGTTTTCAGGCGTGGTGAGGCTCCAGACGTTATCCGTTTCCGGGCTTTGGGTGGACAACTTTTGGCTTGCCTTTGAAACCCCGATGCCGATGAATCCCGGACCGACCGCCGCGGCAAGGTGGTGACTTGGCGAAGGTCATGCGTGCCTGCTGCATGATCTCCAACTCCACAGCCATCGCAGCAGCTGAACGGCAAGCACTGCTTTCAGGGAGTTCAGCGGACAGGGGGAAACTTCCCAGACCTCAGTGGTCAGAGAGTTCTTCGCTTCTTGGGCGTGACGATACTCAAGGAAGTCTTCTCGCGCATCGACCACAAGTTCGACCTGATGTACTCGCGGCTCGGCGCTGTAGTGTTCTTACCCTGTGCAGGCCGTGGGGTTGAATATTTTCCCCCCCTGCGATGATTCCACGGTTCAAGGTTTTCCACAGCCCGTGCTAAAATTCAAAATCCCATTCGCTTGTCATTTCTGCGTCTTTGCCGTGTTTCTCTGGAGTTCGGATTTGGTGGCCTTTCATGTGGCCCCGTGCTGCAGAGGCACTTGCATGTCACATGTGTGTACACCTTTTTTAGCCAAGAGCCCAGCACAACTTTTCAGAAAGCTTCCCAGCCACATGAAATCAAAGGATGTTTGTAAACGTAGTGTAGACCAATACGAATCGTTGTTATGCCCCGCGCCCCAGATGATTAATGGTAGTCATCCCAGGAAGCGAGCCTTCGTGCACCACTACGTCGGTGAAGGCCCGGTTGCGGCAGCGGCAGCGAGCTGAACACCGATGTAGTTTCTCATCGTCCCGCAGCCTGTTGTCACGATTTCGTTCCCCGTGGTGCGGCTTCGGCGGATGCTTTTCTGCAGGCATGGAGGAGGGAGAGTTCTCGGAGGCACGCGAGGATTTGGCTGCCTTGGAGAAGGAGCGTCGGCCGCGCGGTAGTCGGGTCAGCCGACATGCATCGGTGCTAATTGCTAACTTCTGCCCAGTCAACAGCTGGACAGATGGACAGATGTAAATTGAGAGAGAAAGCGACAGACAGACGGACATGCGGTCGGGAGATGCGAGCTAAGAGCTGACACAGACAAATAAAATGAAGGAAGAACCAATAATTATATCAAGCAACAAACAGGAAACAAATAACTAACGAAACCAGCAAGTAATCAACATACTGACCAACACACAAGTAAATCAATAGAAAAGCCCAAAGCAAATCAACAACCAAGCAAATCACCAAAAAAGCAAAGGATCATCGGAAAATAGCTGTATGTATAAATACAAGCAGTTATACATAACATGATTATACTGAACGAGCTCTAATATGATTATACTGAACGAATAAAAACGAATGCATACACATATATGTTTTTGTGCAGTGACGTACGTAATTAAGTAAGTATGTATGTACGTACGAAAGTGTGTACGAATGTATGTACGTATGTATGTATATGTATATATGTATGTACTGCTCACAATAGCAAATATTGAAACGGTCATCTCCGCTCTATGAGTGTATCCATGTGTATGTGTTTGTATGCCAAAATGCACATCATTCTATTGTGCTTTGTTCTTGTCCGGAGTTCACATGCCGGGAGCGTGGCACTTCAACCGTAAGCTGCTGTTGTGCCTTAGTTTGTTAAGAAGGGGATCCCGAATCGCCAAAGCCGAGATCTTTTTGGACAAGCGGAGAAGTTGAAAAGCCCGAATGAAGCGAAGGATTACGAAGAGGTTGGCATCGAAACAGCAGAAGGCACGCAGCCACGTTTGCCACGATGTGCATGATGCTGATCGAATATTGCGTGAGTAGTTTCGCACCCTCTCTTCATCTTGAGGTGAAGGCGAAGAGGAGGGCTACGGAGACGAATTCTGAGACTGCCGGCCAAAGGCCGGCATCCAGAAGAGGCAGGATCTTGGCACGATGCTGGCAAATGACTTCGATGTAACATTGGGATGGGACCGTGACATGAAAGTGTCGAGAATCCTGCCCGCTTCAGCTGTGCGTGCTGCCGAAGTGCTTGGCAAGAGAACTGCGTCTTGTCGTCCGCGGCGGTGGAGCGCTCACATCTCAAGTGTGCACGAAAAAGGTCGGAACCTTTCGAGTAGAAGCCTTCGTACAAACATGGTTTGTGGGTGTGGCACCCTGAGCAGAATGTGCCGAGCTTCAAGAGGTAGGTTTTGCAGGAACTTCCACGTTGGCGTTTCGGTTCGAAGGATTGGTGATCAAGGCCGCTACATCACGCGGTGTGCCCCAGCCACCTTCCGTTGGTGCTCTTTGCGATCAACTCTCTCGCGACTTCTACACCCTCGCTTCGCCGCCATGCGTGAGGCCATTTGCATCCATATCGGCCAGGTGCCAGCTTGCTAAATTCCCCCGAACTCCTCACAATTCGGAAATCTTTGTGGAGCTGATAGCTCGTCGACCTTCATCCAAACTTGCAGGGTGGCGTGCAGATCGGAAACGCCTGCTGGGAGCTCTTCTGCCTCGAGCATGGCATCCAGCCGGATGGTCAGATGCCCAGCGACGCTCGCCAGCAGGCTTCGGCAGAGGTGCATCTGTCGCTAACAAAGTAAGTGCAGGGCAACAGGCTCAGTTTCATCCTGGATGTCGGAGCATGAAGCTAAGGACAAGACCATCGGTGGTGGAGATGCCCCTTGCATGCATTGACACGTGTGTTTAGGGCAAAGCTTGACGCTTTTTGGTCCAACCTTTTTCCGAGCAAGTTCACACGAACATGCTGAACCCAGTCACCCCGTGAGGACGCATTTAATACCTTCTTCTCAGAAACGGGCGCTGGAAAGCACGTCCCTCGCTGCGTCATGGTGGACCCGGGCTTATTTGATCTCCAGCGCTGGCTAGCTGACTACGTTTGAGATGTCAGTCGGCTTTGAGCACGGCAACAGCTGTTGGTGTGGTATTGCTGTAGAGAGACGGCAAGAGCGGAAGCTGGATCGTAGGATGCAGAAGGCTCTGCAAAACTCGGACGAAAGGCCATCAACGGGTCGCAAAAGTCTATGGGTTGCGTAAGGCGCAGGAGTCGTCGTGAGTTTGTTTCAACTGCCGAGAAATAAATGCCAGGGCTTACGTCCGAAGGCTGATTTGCTGCAGGGGAATGGTGGGACGAGCCAAGTGATGGTGATGATTAGTGACGATGATGTCGATCAGAGCGAGTCAGTCATGATGACAAAGAATAGTGAGAAGGAAGAAGGAGAGAGATACCACTGCTTGTAGTAATAGCGACACAGAAGAACATTAGGAATGACGTTCTGTCCGCAACTCGATCACCATCGCCGCCGTCGTCGTCCTGCTGCTGCTGATGATGATCGTGACGAGGATGCTGATGATGATGATGATGATGATGGCCGTGGTGTTGCTACTGCCCTGGTTGGTGCCAAGAGCCAAATCTGACCATGTGACTCCGAAGACGTCCTTCGAGAGTTGTGACGTCACAGGGCCCTATGGTCAGTCATGGTGGGTTCGAAGTCCGTCCCAATCACCGTCATCGCCTCTGGCGTCTATCACACCAGCCAGGACGGCGCACGAGCAACAAACTTAAAAACATCCCAAGGATCTTGAGCCAACTGTTGTGGATGAAGTTCGCACCGGGACCTACCGGCAGCTTTTCCATCCGGAGCAGCTGATTTCTGGCAAAGAAGATGCTGTCACTTGACGGATTTGATCCTGCCGCAACATGTTTGACAGCTAGTTGCATCTCGGGAGTCGTGGACTAACGGTTTCCCAGGCAAACAACTTCGCTCGTGGACATTACACCATCGGCAAAGAGATCGTGGACCTGGTCCTTGACAGGACGTCTGCGTCACCTAGCATGTCTTGTTTGCTCCGACGGTGCTGTTCATTTCGCTAGACTGCGTTGCTATGCACAGAGTGCATCCGCAAACAGATGCTTCCGCGTACGGGCTTCCTGCTTGTTTGCCTGGCACGTCCTGCCAAAGCTTGAATTCACATAGCTGCGTGTACCACAGAGCGTCTGAGTCAGGATCCGCAAGTTGGCCGACAACTGCCGCCGGGCAGACAATCCTTCTCTCTTTTGGCATCGCATGCAATCTCACTCTGCAGATGTGTCTGTAGAATTTCCCTGCAAGCAACACTGTCGTCGCATACACCCAGGCACCGGGCTGCAGGGCTTCTGCGTCTACAATGTCCTTTGGTCAAACACACTGGATGCTGTTGTCCACATCAGATGAGCCCTGAAGCTCAATGGGAGGCTTGTAAACCGAGGCCTGCGGTGGAGGAACCGGCTCTGGCTTGGGCTGCCTCATGCTCGAGCGCTTGTCCGTGGACTACGGAAAGAAGAGCAAGATTTCCTTCACCGTCTGGTGCTGCCCCCAGGTAGCGACGGCCGTCGTCGAGCCGTACAACACCGAGACTTGGCACGTCGGCATATTCGAGTTTGGGTCTTTAGGTGGCTTAGTTGAGAACAGGCAAACGGTGCTTGTTGGAAATCATGTTTTGGCCAAGGTCTTGTGCGTTCATTCCCTCTTGGAGCATACAGACGTGACGATCATGTACGACAACGAGGCCCTCTACGATATTTGCCGCAGGATCCTCGTCGTTCGATTATTTCAGTTTACGTGTTTACCAGGGCCCGAGAGCCAACTTGAAGATGTGAGTTCATCGGTTCCTACGCAACCCGCCGTGGCAAATCATCTGAAGTTTGCAGGCATTCTGGGACGATCACCGTAGGCTTGAACATGGAAGCGGTAAGCTGTGAAAGCAGGACGCACGCATGAGTTTTCGGTTTGGGTGCATTTCAGGAACCTGGACATTGAGCGCCCCACGTACACCAACCTGAACCGCTTGATCGCCCAGATCATCAGTTCCCTGACGGCGAGCCTTCGCTTCGATGGAGCCTTGAACGTGGATATCACGGAGTTCCAGACGAACCTGGTGCCGTACCCGCGCATCCACTTCATGCTCACGTCCTATGCTCCGGTCATCTCTGCCGAGAAGGCCTACCACGAGCAGCTGTCCGTGGCTGAGATCACGATGTCCGTCTTCGAGCCGGCATCCATGATGGTGAAGCGCGAGCCTGAGTGATGTCGGAAACCAGCTCCACCGCTTGCGCGAGAGATAGCAGTCACGCAGGTGCGATCCTCGGCACGGCAAGTACATGGCCTGCTGCATGATGTACCGTCCGGGTGCCCGAAGAACTGCAGCCGTAGCAGCAGCCTCGAGTCAGGCTTCAGATTGATTGCCCAGGCGGCGATGTTGTGCCAAAGGATGTGAATGCAGCCGTGGCTACGATCAAGACCAAGCGCACCATCCAGTTCGTGGATTCTGGGTTGCATTCAAGACTGTCGCTGAATCCAAGAGTAGCACAGACAGAAGTCGGACCACAAAGGCAAACAGGGTGTTCAGATTTGGATCCATGTCTTTCACCTTTTGTGAAATCTCCGTTCGCCCGTTGTACTGTGTGTTGCCTCACGTTGTCATGCGGTTAGAACTGTGAACCACTCCGCGGGGGCCGTGCCAGGACTGGTGCCCCACGGGCTTCAAGTGCGGCATCAACTACCAGCCGCCCACTGTGGTCCCAGGTGGCGAAATTTGTGAGTGGTCGTGGGAAGCTAACACAAGGTTAGACATGTTTTGCGGGTGTGGGGTGCTTGGTACGAGGGTTCCGCATGTCCGAGGGCAGGGACTCGAGGTTTTCAGGCGTGGTGAGGCTCCAGACGTTATCCGTTTCCGGGCTTTGGGTGGACAACTTTTGGCTTGCCTTTGAAACCCCGATGCCGATGAATCCCGGACCGACCGCCGCGGCAAGGTGGTGACTTGGCGAAGGTCATGCGTGCCTGCTGCATGATCTCCAACTCCACAGCCATCGCAGCAGCTGAACGGCAAGCACTGCTTTCAGGGAGTTCAGAAAACAATTCCAGACCTCAGTGGTCAGAGTCTTGCTTGGGTTCTTGGCGATGCCCCAAGAGGGAATTGCACACCGGATAGCATTACGGACACCTCCAGAACGGCGTATCAGAATGTCCTGGCCAGTGAACCACGGGATTTCGAAGGCATCCGCCATCACGGTGCGCCAATGGCGGGTACTCCTCTTGATCGGGGTCTGGGGATTCCCAAGGAAGTCTTCTCGCGCATCGACCACAAGTTCGACCTGATGTACTCGCGGCTCGGCGCTGTAGTGTTCTTACCCTGTGCAGGCCGTGGGGTTAAATATTTTGCCCCCCTGTGATGATTCCACGGTTCAACGTTTTCGATTGCCCGTAATAGCATCAAAGTCTCATTCGCTTGCCAATTTCTGCCTCTCTGCCGTGTTTCTCTGGAGTTCGGATTTGGTGGCCCAGTGCTGCAGAGGCACTTGCATGTCACATGTGTGATCATGTGTGTACACCTCTTTTAGCCAAGAGCCTAGCACAACTTTTCAGAAAGCCTTCCGAGCTTCCAGCCCCATGAAATCGAAGGATGCTTGTAGACGCAGTGTAGACCCATACGAATCGTTGTAATGCCCCAAGGGCCCAGATGATTCATGGTAGTCATGCCAGGAAGCGAGCCTTCGTGCACCACTACGTCGGTGAAGGCCAGGTTGCGGCAGCGGCAGCGAGCTGAACACCGATGTAGTTGCTCATCGTCCCGCAGTCTGTTGTCACGATTACGTTCCCCGTGGTGCGGCCTCGGCGGATCCTTTTCTGCAGGCATGGAGGAGGGAGAGTTCTCGGAGGCACGCGAGGATTTGGCTGCCTTGGAGAAGGAGCGTCGGCCGCGCGGTAGTCGGGTCAGCCGACATGCATCGGTGCTAATTGCTAACTTCTGCCCAGTCAACAGCTGGACAGATGGACAGATGTAAATTGAGAGAGAAAGCGACAGACAGACGGACATGCGGTCGGGAGATGCGAGCTAAGAGCTGACACAGACAAATAAAATGAAGGAAGAACCAATAGTTATATCAATCAACAAACAGGAAACAAATAACTAACGAAACCAGCAAGTAATCAACATACTGACCAACACACAAGTAAATCAATAGAAAAGCCCAAAGCAAATCAACAACCAAGCAAATCGCCAAAAAAGCAAAGGATCATCGGAAAATAGTTGGATGTATAAACACAAGCAGTTATACATAACATGATTATACTGAACGAATAAAAACGAATGCATACTCATAGATGTTTTTGTGCAGTTGTGTACGTAAGTAAGTAAGTAAGTATGTATGTACGTACGGAAGTGTGTACGAATGTCTGTATGTATATGCATATATGTATGTACTGCTCAATAGCAAAAATTGAAACGGTCATCTCCGCTCTGTGAGTGAGTCCAGGTGTATGTGTTTGTATGCCAAAATGCACATCATTCTATTGTGCTTTGTTCTTGTCCGGAGTTCGCATGCCGGGAGCGTGGCACTTCAACCGTAAGCTGCTGTTGTGCCTTAGTTTGTTAAGAAGGGGATCCCGAATCGCCAAAGCCGAGATCTTTTTGCACAAGCGGAGAAGCTGAAAAGCCCGAATGAAGCGAAGGATTACGAAGAGGTTGGCATCGAAACAGCAGAAGGCACGCAGCCACGTTTGCCACGATGTGCATGATGCTGATCGAATATTGCGTGAGTAGTTTCGCACCCTCTCTTCATCTTGAGGTGAAGGCGAAGAGGAGGGCTACGGAGACGAATTCTGAGACTGCCGGCCAAAGGCCGGCATCCAGAAGAGGCAGGATCTTGGCACGATGCTGGCAAATGACTTCGATGTAACATTGGGATGGGACCGTGACATCAAAGTGTCGAGAATCCTGCCCGCTTCAGCTGTGCGTGCTGCCGAAGTGCTTGGCAAGAGAACTGCGTCTTGTCGTCCGCGGCGGTGGAGCGCTCACATCTCAAGTGTGCACGAAAAAGGTTGGAACCTTTCGAGTAGAAGCCTTCGCACAAACATGGTTTGTGGGTGTGGCACCCTGAGCAGAATGTGCCGAGCTTCAAGAGGTAGGTTTTGCAGGAACTTCCGCGTTGGCGTTTCGGTTCGGAGGATTGGTGATCAAGGCCGCTACATCACGCGGTGTGCCCCAGTCACCTTCCGTTGGTGCTCTTTGCGATCAACTCTCTCGCGACTTCTACACCCTCACTTCGCCGCCATGCGTGAGGCCATTTGCATCCACATCGGCCAGGTGCCAGCTTGCTAAATTCCCCCGAACTCCTCCAAATTCGGAAATCTTTGTGGAGCTGATAGCTCGTCGGCCTTCATCCAAACTTGCAGGGTGGCGTGCAGATCGGAAACGCCTGCTGGGAGCTCTTCTGCCTCGAGCATGGCATCCAGCCGGATGGTCAGATGCCCAGCGACGCTCGCCAGCAGACTTCAGAGGCGCATCTGTCGCTAACAACGTAAGTGCAGGGCAACAGGCTCAGTTTCATCCTGGATGTCGGAGCATGAAGCTAAGGACAAGACCATCGGTGGTGGAGATGCCCCTTGCATGCAGTGACACGTGTGTTTAGGGCACAAAGCTTGACGCTTTTTGGTGCAACTTTTTTCCCGAGCGAATTCACGCGAACATGCTGAACCCAGTCACCCCGTGAGGACGCATTTAATACCTTCTTCTCAGAAACGGGCGCTGGAAAGCACGTCCCTCGCTGCGTCATGGTGGACCCGGGCTTACTTGATCTCCAGCGCTAGCTAGCTGACTACATGTGAGATGTCAGTCGGCTTTGAGCACGGCAACAGCTGTTCGTGTGGTATTGCTGTAGAGAGACGGCATGAGCGGAAGCTGGATCATAGGATACAGAAGGCACTGCAAAACTCGGACGCAAGGCCATCAACGGCTCGCAAAAGTCTATGGGTTGCGTAAGGCGCAGGAGTCGTCGCGAGTTTGTCTCAACTGCCGAGAAATAAATGCCAGGGCTTACGTCCGAAGGTTGATTTGCTGCAAGGGAATGGTGGGACGAGCCAGGTGATGGTGATGATTGTGACGAATGTCGATCAGAGCGAGTCAGTCATGATGACGAAGAATAGTGAGAAGGAAGAAGAGGAGAGATACCACTGCTTGTAGTAATAGATAGTAATAGCGACGCAGGTAATAGCGACACAGAAGAACATTGAGAATGACATTCTGCCCGCAACTCGATCAGCATCGCCGCCGCCGTCGTCCTGCTTCTGATGATGAGGCTAAGGAATGCTAAGGATGATGGTCGTGACGAGGATGATGATGATGGTGATGATGGCCGTGGTGTTGCTACTGCCCCGTTGGTGCCAAGAGCCAAAGACGTCCTTCGAGAGTTGTGACGTCACGGGTCCTATGGCCCTATGGTCAGTCATGGTGGGTTCGAAGTCCGTCCCAGCTATTTTGATACAAATGCGCCATCCTGGCTGGTGTTGATAGACGCAAGTCCCAAACACCGTGATGGCCTTTGGCGCCTATCACACCAGCCAGGACGGTGCAGGAACAACACTTAAAAACATCCTAAGGATCTTGAGCCAACTGTTGTGGATGAAGTTCGCACTGGTACCTACCGGCAGCTTTTCCATCCGGAGCAGCTGATTTCTGGCAAAGAAGATGCTGTCACTTGACGGATCTGATCCTGCCGCAACATGTTTGAAAGCTTGTTGCATCTCGGGAGTCGTGGACTAGCGGTGTTTTTCCCAGGCAAACAACTTCGCTCGTGGACATTACACGATCGGCAAAGAGATCGTGGACCTGGTCCTTGACAGGACGTCTGCGTCACCTAGCATGTCTTGTTTGCTCCGACGGTGCTGTTCATTTCGCTATACTGGGTTGCTATGCACAGAGTGCATCCACAAAAAGATGCTTCCGCGTACGGGCTTCCTGCTTGTTTGCCTGGCACGTCCTGCCAAAGCTTGAATCCACACAGCTGCGTGTACCGCAGAGCGTCTGAGTCAGGATCCGCAAGTTGGCCGACAACTGCCGCCGGGCAGACAATCCTTCTAGCTTTTGGCATCACGTGCTAGCTCACTCTGCAGATGTGTCTGTAGAATTTCCCTGCAAGCAACACTGTCGTCGCATACACCCAGGCACCGGGCTGCAGGGCTTCTGCGTCTACAATGTCCTTTGGTCAAACACACTGGATGCTGTTGTCCACATCAGATGAGCCCTGAAGCTCAATGGGAGGCTTGTAAACCGAGGCCTGCGGTGGAGGAACCGGCTCTGGCTTGGGCTGCCTCATGCTCGAGCGCTTGTCCGTGGACTACGGAAAGAAGAGCAAGATTTCCTTCACCGTCTGGTGCTGCCCCCAGGTAGCGACGGCAGTCGTCGAGCCGTACAACACCGAGACTTGGCACGTCGGCACATTCGAGTTTGAGTCTTTAGGTGGCTTAGTTGAGAACAGGCAAACGGTGCTTGTTGGAAATCATGTTTTGGCCAAGGTCTTGTGCGTTCATTCCCTCTTGGAGCATACAGACGTGACGATCATGTACGACAACGAGGCCCTCTACGATATTTGCCGCAGGATCCTCGTCGTTCGATTATTTCAGTTTACGTGTTTACCAGGGCCCGAGAGCCAACTTCAAGATGTGAGTTCATCGGTTCCTATGCAACCCGCCGTGGCAAATCATCTGAAGTTTGCAGGCATTCTGGGACGATCAACGTAGGCTTGAACATGGAAGCGGTAAGCTGTGAAAGCAGGACGCACGCATGAGTTTTCGGTTTGGGTGCATTTCAGGAACCTGGACATTGAGCGCCCCACGTACACCAACCTGAACCGCTTGATCGCCCAGATCATCAGTTCCCTGACGGCGAGCCTTCGCTTCGATGGAGCCTTGAACGTGGATATCACGGAGTTCCAGACGAACCTGGTGCCGTACCCGCGCATCCACTTCATGCTCACGTCCTATGCTCCGGTCATCTCTGCCGAGAAGGCCTACCACGAGCAGCTGTCCGTGGCTGAGATCACGATGTCCGTCTTCGAGCCGGCATCCATGATGGTGAAGCGCGAGCCTGAGTGATGTCGGAAACCAGCTCCACCGCTTGCGCGAGAGATAGCAGTCACGCAGGTGCGATCCTCGGCACGGCAAGTACATGGCCTGCTGCATGATGTACCGTCCGGGTGCCCGGAGAGCTGCAGCCGTAGCAGCCTCGAGTCAGGCTTCAGATTGACTGCCCAGGCGGCGATGTTGTGCCAAAGGATGTGAATGCAGCCGTGGCTACGATCAAGACCAAGCGCACCATCCAGTTCGTGGATTCTGGGTTGCATTCAAGACTATTGCTGAACCAAGAGTAGCAGAGACAGAAGTCGGACCACAAAGGCAAACAGGGTGTTCAGATTTGGATCCATGTCAATGTCTAGCCAGCCGTGTGTCGCAAGTCAGTCGCGTGGCTTCGGTGCGACTCCCAAACCCCAAGCCCAAGACATTCCAAGAGCAGCACCCTTTTGGTGAAATCTCCGTTTGTCCGTTGCACTCCGAGTTGCCTCACGTTGTCATGCGGTTAGAACTGTGAACCACTCCGCGGGGGCCGTGCCAGGACTGGTGCCCCACGGGCTTCAAGTGCGGCATCAACTACCAGCCGCCCACCGTGGTCCCAGGTGGCGAAATTTGTGAGTGGTCGTGGGAAGCTAACACAAGGTTAGACATGTTTTGCGGGTGTGGGGTGCTTGGTACGAGGGTTCCGCATGTCCGAGGGCAGGGACTCGAGGTTTTCAGGCGTGGTGAGGCTCCAGACGTTATCCGTTTCCGGGCTTTGGGTGGACAACTTTTGGCTTGCCTTTGAAACCCCGATGCCGATGAATCCCGGACCGACCGCCGCGGCAAGGTGGTGACTTGGCGAAGGTCATGCGCGCCTGCTGCATGATCTCCAACTCCACAGCCATCGCAGCAGCTGAACGGCAAGCACTGCTTTCAGGGAGTTCAGCGGACAGGGGGAATCTTCCCAGACCTCAGTGGTCAGAGTCTTGCTTGGGTTCTTCGCTTTTTGGGCGTGACGATACTGAAGGAAGTCTTCTCGCGCATCGACCACAAGTTCGACCTGATGTACTCGCGGCTCGGCGCTGTAGTGTTCTTACCCTGTGCAGGCCGTGGGGTTATATAAATATATTGCCCCCAGCGATGATTCCGCGGTTCAAGGTTTTCCACAGCCCATGATAAAATCAAAGTCCCATTCGCTCGTCATTTCTGCGTCTCTGCCGTGTTTCTCTGGAGCTCGGATTTGGGGGCCTTTCATGTGGCCCAGTGCTGCAGAGGCACTTGCATGTCACATGTGTGTACACCTTTAGCCAAGAGCCCAGCACAACTTTTCAGAAAGCCTTCCGAGCTTCCCAGCTCCATGAAATCGAAGGATGCTTGTAAACGCAGTGTAGACCCATACGAATCGTTGTTATGCCCCGAGGGCCCAGATGATTAATGGTAGTCATGCCAGGAAGCGAGCCTTCGTGCACCACTACGTCGGTGAAGGCCCGTGAACACCGATGTAGTTTCTCATCGTCCCGCAGCCTGTTGTCACGATTACGTTCCCCGTGGTGCGGCTTCGGCGGATGCTTTTCTGCAGGCATGGAGGAGGGAGAGTTCTCGGAGGCACGCGAGGATTTGGCTGCCTTGGAGAAGGAGCGTCGGCCGCGCGGTAGTCGGGTCAGCCGACATGCATCGGTGCTAATTGCTAACGCCTGCCCAGTCAACAGCTGGACAGATGGACAGATGTAAATTGAGAGAGAAAGCGACAGACAGACGGACATGCGGTCGAGAGGTGCGAGCTAAGAGCTGACACCGACAAGTAAAGCTGTAAATAAAGATCAACAAACAGGAAACGAAGAACTAACGAAATCAGCAGGTATTCAGGCTATTGACAAACACACAAGTAAATCAATAGAAAAGCCCACAGCAAATCAACAACTAAGCAAGTCATAAAAAAACAATTGAACATCGAAAAATAGTTGGATGTATAAATACAGGCAGGAATACATAACATAATTGTACTGAACAATCCTAATATGATTGTACTGAACCAATAAAGAAACGAATGCATACACATATATGCTTTTAGGCATTGACGTACGTAAGTAAGTATGTATGTATGAATGTATGTATGTGCGTACGAAGTTGTGTACGAATGCATATACGAATGTATGTATGTATATACATATATGTATGTAGTGCTCACAACAGCAAATATTGAAATGGTCATCTCTGCTCTATGAATGTGGCCCTGTCCATGTGTATGTGACTGTAAGCCAACATGCACATCATTCTATCCTGCTTTGTTCTTGTCCAGAGTTCGCATGCCTGGAGCGGGGCACTTTCACCGCAAGCTGCTGCTGTGCCTTAGTTTGTTAAGAATGGGAACCCGAATCGCCAAAGCCGAGATCTTTTTGGACAAGCGGAGACAAAAGCCCGAATGAAGCGAAGGATTACGAAGAGGTTGGCATTGAAACAGCAGAAGGCCCGCAGCCACGCTTGCCACAGTGTGCTTGATGCTGGTTGAATATTGCGTGAGTACTTTCGCGCCCTCTCTTCATCTTGAGGCGAAGGCGAAGAGGAGGGCTACGGAGACGAATTCTGAGACTGCCGGCCGAAGGCCGGCATCCAGAAAGGGCAGGATCTTGGCAGAATGCTGGCAAATGACTTCGATGTAACCTTGGGATGCGACAGTGACATCAAAGTTTCGAGAATCCTGCCAGCTGAGCTGTGCGTGCTGCCGAAGTGCTTGGCGAGAGAACTGCGTCTTGTCGTCCGCGGCGGTGGAGCACGCGAGCAGGTGAGCAAAAAGGACAGGATCGGGTGGGGCCGTCTGAGCATTGCCCCTGCAGATTCACAGCATGTAGTGTTAATCTAGCCCTGTCTCTGAGCCTTTGGATTGGGAGCTAGAGTCGAAGCTATTGCATGATCCGAAAGCTGATTCTCACTGTAGTGGCTCAAGTCAAGTCTCGGGTGTCGAAGCCTAGGCCCATCATGACTTGTGCTCGTTAAAGTCACGGCCTTATGCAGCTTTGCAGAGCGCCACAGAGCGCCAGTTCCCGTTTCCATTGAGGTCCGGCCGTCGTCTGAAACCCCTGGTCCTGTGCTGCGTCGCTGTGGCACGAGGACGCGGTGTAATTACAGCGCTTCCGTGCCCGAGGCAACCCATCTGAGCTGCTTGGCTCGGGTCGAACTGGAACTCGAAGCGTATCCGCAGATGTCTCCTACCCTCTATGCACCCCCTACACCCTCTGCTACCCTCTGAGCCTCTCTCCTCCTCTCAGCTCCGCGGAGCGCGGCGTTTCCGCAGGACTGGAAATTTCATCCACATTTTGAAGCCGCGGTCTTCCATGCTTCGGAGGACTGCAGGTTTAGCGGCGGGTTGTTGTTAGTTGTTCTTCGATCCCAGACCCCGCCAGGCCGTTTTGGTTCTGTGAGTTCATCGTGGCACTTGCTTGGAGAGATGCAGCACCGGACTTCCTCTCGCTTGATCCAAGTGCCATAGTGGCACTTCAAGGCCCGCATGTGGTATCATGCCTGCATTCAAAAGACTCAAGGCCTCACGCCGAACTCGCTGATAGCAAAGGCAGAGGCCCAGCGAGCTGCGTTTCAGGCTCTCTGTCCATATGCTGTCGCTTTGGAGGTGACCTCCGAAGCTACGAACCATAGTGCGAATGAGAGCGCCGTCACGCCCGAGGCGTTGCTAAGCGTGCTTCGGGAGGCTGGTCAACTCAGTGCCGAAACTTACATGAGCCATTCGTATGGCATGTTGCGATTCAGCTTTCAGCTCCCGTCACCCCTCGCAGGAGCACAAGAAGAACAGAAGATTACGGAAAAGGCTGTACAGAATGATGCATCGTGAAAGCGAGAATTTCTCCGAGACTGTCATCGCGGCTCGATCGATGCAGCAAGAGCCATGTCTCAAGTGTTATTCGGATGATTGCTAGCCTTTGTAGGAGTTGCAGCTCCCTGCCTTGATCCGTCGCGTGTGCAAGGACCTCTCCAGCTACCTCCACAACCTGACCCACCAGGATACCAATGTTGGATCAAGTTGACGGATGCATCCAGCCCAAACCCTGAAAGCCTGTTTTCTCACAAAACCTGAGCCACTGAACCCGGAAGCCCAAAGTTGTGAACCCTTGACTATCCCAAACTCCGAAACTCCAAACCCCTGGATGTCCTTCGAAGGCTTGGAGGAAGACGGCGAAGACACACAAATCAACATCAAATTTGGAGCGGAGATCCTTCGACAGGCACGAAAAAAACAAACGCTAGTGGCTTCTCCATGCTTCCGAAGAAACGCGGGCCCTGAGCAGTTTTGGATCATGCAGGATGTTGAGTTTAAGAAACCTGCGAGTTTTTTCTGTAAGATCTGAGTAACTACAGAGACCACAGGAAGAGACGTCAGATGAGGGGTTTGGAGCAAAATTCCGACGTCGTGGCTTCCATAAGTGGCCCGAGCACATAACCAATCTGGAATCTAGACAGCCGGTATCACATACTCTGGACCCCAGACCAATTAGCCCTCCCTTCCCTCCTGAGAAAGGATGATAATCGTGGCCCTTGTATTAGGGCGCTTGAAGAAGCTGAATTCACCAAGGGTTTACGAAGCACTTTGTGAGGGCACAGCGCATCTCCCAAGTTCCAAGCGCAGGTCTGCAGAGCAGACACCCGAGAAGGCCGAACTGGGTGTGGGGGTTTTGGGTCTGGGGAGTCTAGGGTTTAGACCCTTTTCGATTGCAGACTAAGGGGCGAGTTCCTTTGAAGTCTGGTTCTTTTAGCGTTTTTGATGAGTGTATAATGCTCTTGTAGGGAATGTTGGCGAGTATCTGCGTCGTTGTTATATTGAGTATGCCTGCTTCAGAAGTACTCGCAGGGCATCCTCATCAAAAGCACCCAAATACGGTCCCGCAGGATTCGCTGGTTTTTCCGGACTATGTGGCTTGGCGCACGTGAGCCTGAGGGCAACTTAGGGTAACTTGGGAGCAGCCTAGTCCTTGGCGTTGCTCACCTTTGCAAGGAAACAGAGCTGGAGACAAACGTGGAGCTGCGAAATCGACTCGCGAAGCTGGAGAGCTACTTTAATGCCCGCGGCTCAGCATGTGAAGCTCCAATGGCTCTTGCTCTTGCTTCGTGCGGTTCTACGCATGTGTCAGGTCCAGGCAAACCAATGGCAGCATGCCCTCTCTGCAATCCCGGAGCACACATCTCAGCAATTCCGGTCCGGAGAAACCATAGAAGGTGCTGAGACCACCCCACAGTCAAAGCAGACTCTCCAGTCTGGCACGGGCACAGCCACAACCACCACCACGGCTATGTCATCTGATGAAACGGAGCGGTCACAGTCGGGAAGCCACCCGCAGTCAGAGCAGACTCCAGGGTCCGGTGCCGGCACCACCACAAGCACCACCAGCGCTGTATCATCTGATGAAACGGAGCGGTCACAGTCGGGAAGCCAGGCACAGTCAGAGCAGACTCTCCAGTCCGGTGCCGGCACCACCACGACCACCACCAGCGCTGTGTCATCTGATGAAACGGAGCGGTCACAGTCTGGAAGCCACCCGCAGTCAGAGCAGACTCCAGGGTCCGGTGCCGGCACCACCACAAGCACCACCAGCGCTGTATCATCTGATGAAACGGAGCCGTCACAGTCGGGAAGCCACCCGCAGTCAGAGCAGACTCTCCAGTCCGGTGCCGGCACCACCACAACCACTACCACGGCTATGTCATCTGATGAAACGGAGCGGTCACAGTCGGGAAGCCACCCGCAGTCAGAGCAGACTCTCCAGTCCGGTGCCGGCACCACCAGCGCTGTATCATCTGATGAAACGGAGCGGTCGCAGTCGGGAAGCCACCCGCAGTCAGAGCAGACTCCAGGGTCCGGTGCCGGCACCACCACAACCACCACCAGCGCTGTATCATCTGATGAAACGGAGCCGTCGCAGTCGGGAAGCCACCCGCAGTCAGAGCAGACTCCAGGGTCCGGTGCCGACACCACCACAACCACCACCAGCGCTGTGTCATCATCTGATGAAACGGAGCCGTCGCAGTCGGGAAGCCACCCGCAGTCAGAGCAGACTCCAGGGTCCGGTGCCGGCACCACCACAACCACCACCAGCGCTGTATCATCTGATGAAACGGAGCCGTCGCAGTCGGGAAGCCACCCGCAGTCAGAGCAGACTCTCCAGTCCGGTACCGGCACCACCACAACCACCACCAGCGCTGTATCATCTGATGAAACGGAGCGGTCGCAGTCGGGAAGCCACCCGCAGTCAGAGCAGACTCTCCAGTCCGGTGCCGGCACCACCACGACCACCACCAGCGCTGTGTCATCTGATGAAACGGAGCGGTCACAGTCGGGAAGCCACCCGCAGTCAGAGCAGACTCCAGGGTCCGGTGCCGGCACCACCACAAGCACCACCAGCGCTGTATCATCTGATGAAACGGAGCCGTCACAGTCGGGAAGCCACCCGCAGTCAGAGCAGACTCTCCAGTCCGGTGCCGGCACCACCACAACCACTACCACGGCTATGTCATCTGATGAAACGGAGCGGTCACAGTCGGGAAGCCACCCGCAGTCAGAGCAGACTCTCCAGTCCCGTGCCGGCACCACCACGACCACCAGCAGCGCTGTGTCATCTGATGAAACGGAGCGGTCACAGTCGGGAAGCCACCCGCAGTCAGAGCAGACTCCAGGGTCCGGTGCCGGCACCACCACAACCACCACCAGCGCTGTGTCATCATCTGAAGAAACGGAGCCGTCACAGTCGGGAAGCCACCCGCAGTCAGAGCAGACTCTCCAGTCCGGTGCCGGCACCACCACAACCACTACCACGGCTATGTCATCTGATGAAACGGAGCGGTCACAGTCGGGAAGCCACCCGCAGTCAGAGCAGACTCTCCAGTCCCGTGCCGGCACCACCACAACCACCACCAGCGCTGTATCATCTGATGAAACGGAGCCGTCGCAGTCGGGAAGCCACCCGCAGTCAGAGCAGACTCTCCAGTCCGGTGCCGGCACCACCACAACCACCACCAGCGCTGTATCATCTGATGAAACGGAGCGGTCACAGTCGCAGTCAGAGCAGACTCTCCAGTCCGGTGCTGGCACCACCACAACCACCACCAGCGCTGTATCATCTGATGAAACGGAGCCGTCGCAGTCGGGAAGCCACCCGCAGTCAGAGCAGACTCTCCAGTCCGGTGCCGGCACCACCACAACCACCACTGTATCTACCGACACGGAGCACCAGCAGCCCGGCAAAAAGCCTGCGGAGTCAGTTCCAGCAGGTGGAGCCCAAGAGAGCGGTGTTGCATCTACTACCAACAAAACCAGCGCGGAGCACCAGCAGCCCGGCAAAAAGCCTGCGGAGTCAGTTCCAGGTGGAGCCCAAGAGAGCGGTGCCACATCTGCAACCAACAAAACCAGCGCGGAGCACCAGCAGCCCGGCAAAAAGCCTGCGGAGTCAGTTCCAGCAGGTGGAACCCAAGAGAGCAGTGCTGCATCTACTACCAACAAAACCAGCGCGGAGCACCAGCAGCCCGGCAAAAAGCCTGCGGAGTCAGTTCCAGCAGGTGGAACCCAAGAGAGCAGTGCTGCATCTACTACCCACAAAACCAGCGCGGAGCACCAGCAGCCCGGCAAAAAGCCTGCGGAGTCAGTTCCAGGTGGAACCCAAGAGAGCGGTGCCACATCTGCAACCAACAAAACCAGTGCGGAGCACCAGCAGCCCGGCAAAAAGCCTGCGGAGTCAGTTCCAGCAGGTGGAACCCAAGAGAGCAGTGCTGCATCTACTACCCACAAAACCAGCGCGGAGCACCAGCAGCCCGGCAAAAAGCCTGCGGAGTCAGTTCCAGCAGGTGGAGCCCAAGAGAGCGGTGCCGCATCTACTACCAACAAAACCAGCGCGGAGCACCAGCAGCCCGGCAAAAAGCCTGCGGAGTCAGTTCCAGCAGGTGGAACCCAAGAGAGCAGTGCTGCATCTACTACCAACAAAACCAGTGCGGAGCACCAGCAGCCCGGCAAAAAGCCTGCGGAGTCAGTTCCAGCAGGTGGAACCCAAGAGAGCAGTGCTGCATCTACTACCCACAAAACCAGCGCGGAGCACCAGCAGCCCGGCAAAAAGCCTGCGGAGTCAGTTCCAGCAGGTGGAACCCAAGAGAGCAGTGCCGCATCTACTACCAACAAAACCAGCGCGGAGCACCAGCAGCCCGGCAAAAAGCCTGAGGAGTCAGTTCCAGCAGGTGGAACCCAAGAGAGCAGTGCTGCATCTACTACCAACAAAACCAGTGCGGAGCACCAGCAGCCCGGCAAAAAGCCTGCGGAGTCAGTTCCAGCAGGTGGAACCCAAGAGAGCAGTGCTGCATCTACTACCAACAAAACCAGCGCGGAGCACCAGCAGCCTGGCAAAAAGCCTGCGGAGTCAGTTCCAGCAGGTGGCCAAGAGGGGGATGCTGTGACCACCACGGAGCAGCAGCAGTCGACAGAGCCAGAGGAGATTGTTGAGATTGGACTTGGTGGGTTTGGATCTACTGACGACACGACGACAAGCAAGGCTCAGGCAGCCGCAACGACGACCACGAAAACTCCTCAGAGGATTGTGTCAGCCACACGCGCGGCTCCTCGACGGCCAACCACCACCACGGCAAAGCCGGCGACAACGAGCACGGAGGAGCCCGCAAGAGCACGGGCTGTAGGGAAGACGGCACAGGGCCCCGAGGCGGAGCAGGCGGCGACTGAAGCAGAAGAAGCTGCCTCCTGGTTCCGGCCGTTGCCTGAGCTCCGCCGATTTGAGTTTTGTGCTTCCATGTACCCCTCTCTTGACAGGGGTGGCAGACGAGAGCCTGAGTCAAATGCAACCAGGGCCAGCAGTCCCTTGGATGCCCACACTCTGTACCTTTTCCCTCTCCCTGCTTGCGCTTTTGCGCCTGCTGCAGGCGAGCATGCAGATGCAGATCAGAGGAGTCAATGGAGCAAAGAACGACTGGATGTGGCTGAAGGGAACGAGACTTTGCAAGATGTTATAATGTTGCCATGAGATGCCTCCTTGAGACA